ACATATTTATTTCTATAAATAAATTTAGATTAATCTTTAAGACTACTAAAGTTTTTCAGTCAAGAGCAATGCGTGATTTTCTGTCTGTCTTTTGTTGCTTGATTAACATCAGTGACTCAGACAATAGCAACTAAATTAGGCTGCTGTCCCTTTAAAACCGAATGCACGGCTGCAATGGATGCAATGTACTGAGACACGTTCTCCCTACGGTTTACGTTCACTTAAGACGTAATCAACCATGTTTACGTGAATACTCGTCAAAACGGACAATTTGACATCATTTTGTGTGCAATTCTCCATTCATGCGACGCGAAAGAGTACTCGTGTGCTGTGAGACACGCTTTCTGTATGTGTATGCTTCAGGGTCTGCGCTCAGAACACCGGACCGAATTGAGTTCTCTCTTGTGTCGTCAGATTTATCCATATGTCTGCTCTTCTCTTACTCCCACATATTGACATTTTTGAAAATTTTATGTGACGTGCAGCAAGTGTATTTTAGCTTATGTCCCGCCGGCTCAAATGTACGCATCTAACCTCCGAACCACGCAGCAGATTCATTCTGAATGAATCTCTTCCCGAATCGTCCCTCCCTAACATTTTCGTCTCGTTTTTATTCATTGACGAAAATGTCAATAGATTTACATCATAGTTTTTGTCATTCAAAAAGAGTTTTATAGCTTATGTCCCGCCGGTTCATATGTACGCATCTAACCTCCGAACCACGCAGCAGATTTGTTCTGAATGAATGTCTTCTAGTGCTGGGCGGTATACCGGTTCATACTGAATACCGGTGTTTATTTTTGTTATGATATGAATTTTTAAAATACCGCAATACCAGTGTATGTCGCTTAAACAACATTCAGAACGCGACACTGTTTGAAAGAAGTCCCTTTTCACTTTTTCACTGTGGTGAGGGAACAGCTGTACGCCACAAATATCCACTGCCCCCTGCCATCAGCTCCCGTGTCTCTCACACACACACACACACGAGCGCGACTTTAGCACTAGATAACTAAATAACAACTTTCAGACCCTTTTAGCAGCTTTTTCCGCTATTCCGCTATAGAATATTCATACTGACAAACCTAGCGACTTTTTTGGATAAACCTTAGCTATGGTTCAGTTGGAAGATTTCGCCAGTGCTGTCCTGCGATCGCGAGGTCTGACTTTTCCGGAGAAGTGTCACTTCTCTCGGCGTCTGTTCTGTGCAGTGAGTGGCAGAGAAGCAGCGTATTCTAAGTCAATATACTGCAGTATTTCCTCTCTCAATCAGTAGAAAATATGGTTAACACACGGTCATGAATGGAAAAAAATAATACCGTCATGTACCGTGAAACCGGTATAATTTAGAAAAATACCGTGATATAAATTTTTGGTCATACCGCCCAGCACTAATGTCTTCCCAAATCGTCCCTCCCTAACATTTTCGTCTCGTTTTTATTCGTTGACGAAAATGTCAATAGATTTACGTCATAGTTTTTGTAATTCAAAAAGAGTTTTAGTTCGTTATCGTCTCGTTGTCGTCGGTGAAAAAAATGTCGTTGACGACAATTATGACGAAAATTATTCGTCAGCGAAATTAACACTGATTCCAAGTGCACCACACATGAAGTTGTCAAAATGATAGAAATGTTAAACAAATCACTTGTTCTTTGTAGAAAAGATGCATGAACTACAACTACATCTTGTACAAACTTGTCTTATACATATTATATGTTCAGAAATAATACGAGGAAATTTTTCAGAAGTCAAGATAATTCAAATTCAAAATGACTAAAGGTATAACACCAGTAGACTGTTATTAACTATAAATGTTCTGTAAAAACAATGAACAGCAGCTTTCAGCCTGTCACCATGATACTAACATGAAATATCAGACATAGAGTAGTAGTTTTTATTCGATTGCGCTGCTTTTCCATTGTTTTTTCTATGTAAACATGGACACGTTTGACTGTTGCGCTCACTTATCTTGCAATGTATAAAACGGTATTTAAAAAATACGGAGCTCAAGTTAAAAGAAGTTCAACTCCCGTCGTCTTGCAATTTTTTCCTATTCCACTGCCCGTGTCGCATCTTTGTCAACACAAAAGCGCATTCTGTGTGAATGGCGCCTAGCGATATGAGCGCGTTACACGTAAGCGGTTAATCATGTGCGCTGACATGCGGTTGGATCTTTCTTTTCTTTGTTATATCATTGGCATATTGTCGAAGTGTCTAATTCTAACATTTGATAATATTTCTATTCAAAATTGCGATTCCTCGTTTCCTAAAAAATTGAATCGCCACAAAACATTAAAGTCGAATTAATCGATAAAATCATTAATACACTTAATACACGACCTGAGTGCATGTTTTTCCAAATAAATAGGTTTGTACTGTTTGTAATATTTAATTAAAATATAATAACATGCTTAATAATAGCTTCCTTTGAAATAGCTTTCATTTTCTACTGACACCACTTAGGTTGTGCAGGCTAATAGATAGTTCATCAGTAGCCAAATAGCTACTTAGGCATTGTTTTAGCGAACTCGCATGCGTTCTGGCTTCATTCTAGTATGTAACCCTTTTCACCTACCAATCAATTCTTGATGTATAAAATCATGTTCAGTCCTCCATTTAATTTTTTTATAATTTTGTTTTTAAATATTTTTTTTGTATTTATAGGTATTTTTCCTATTTTATACCATTTTTGTGTCATTTTTCCTATTTTATACCATTTTTGTGTCATTTAATCATTTTTAACTTTATTTATTTGTTTAATTTTTTTTTATATTATATTTTTTCTTGTTGACTAAAATTTCATGTTGACTTTGAGTCACTGACAGGATGAGATATTTACTGGTTGTTGTACATGCTGTTCCAGATTTCAGAACATCATTCACATCACTGAACATCACTGATCGGATAGAAACCTCCCTCAGTAACACACGCATACGCTGTCGGTTTCAGTTGCTGTACTGTCTTTCCTGACACCAGTTCCACTGATCTCACATGGTCCGCAGTGCCTGACAGGAAACATCATTCTGAATTTTCAGGGACAAAGCTGTCAAATCATGGTTTAGAGTGAGGGTCATGATAATCATGACTCGACTCCTGTTGAGTGAATTATTATACCTCCATACATGGTGTAATATGAAAATTTGGCCAGGTTTCACACGAAATGTCTCCCAGTGCACCAGTAGGGTGTACCTAGACAGTCTTAATGCATACTGTATGTTTTCTTTATAGTTGTGAGATTTTAAAATCCCTCTCACTTGAGGAAGAGAAAATTTATGATAGACGGAAACCATTCTGATTCATGACAATCGCAGCTTCTGTCGAATCGCGATCTCGATTCCATCTCCATTTATCGTGCAACCCTACATTCTGACACGCACACAGGCGACACATTGTGATGCAAGAACAATATGCGTTTCCTGTGTTTCTGTTAGGGATGCACCCGGTATCGGGCCTGATACTGAGCTCCTGTACTCGTACTCGTTAAAATGCCCCGATACCATTGCGCCAGCTGGTAAGCAAATCACGCTGAGTGGATTGAGCGCACAGCGGCGTGAGCTTGTCGAGTGAATATCCCTTTCTTTGGAAAATAAATCGCTGCACGTTTCAGATGAAAAAAACGCGACTTCTATTTATGATAATATCACAGTTAGGAGATTTATAGCGAGTGGTTCCCTGCGTTTTTACAGCAAATTGCGTGATTACTACTAAGCCGCTGCAATGGAGCAGCTCTAATGCTATTGAATTAAAGATGATGTAGGCTACCATGGAGAGAGGAAAAAAATTAACAGTGAAAGTAACAACTGTATCTATTTGATAAATGAAGTTAACCAACTAACATTATACATACTCTTTTGGTTTCTGTACCCAATATTTTTTTACATTTACAAATGCAATGAAAATATTGGTATCAGTACTCTGCATCGGCAAGTACCAAAAATAAAAGTATCGGTATCGGGCGAGTACTGGAAAAAGTGGTATTGGTGCATCCCTAGTTTCTGTGTAGAAAAGGTAATTGTGCGAGATCATTTGTTTAGGTGTGTTTAACAGTGATTGTTAGGATATTTTGACCGGTTTTCTAGGTGTTAAGCTGCATGAGTTTGTGTCTGTCTGAATGTTTGGGTCTTTCTTTATTTGCCCTTTAGATCTTGTTAGCAACTTTAATCTCATGTCTGAGAGTACAGACTGTACTGTTAGTCAGGTTACTATGAAGAAGACTGTGGTCAAGACTGTGGAATATAGGCCACTTAAAGGATTAGTTCACTTTCAAATTAAAATTTCCTGATAATTTACTCACCCCCATGTCATCCAAGATGTTTACGTCTTTCTTTCTTCAGTCGAAAAGAAATTAAGGTTTTTGATGAAAACATTCCAGGATTATTCTCCTTATAGTGGACTTCAACGGTTACCAAACGGTTGAAAATCAAAATTACAGTTTCAGTGCAGCTTCAAAGGGCTCTACACGATACCAGACGAGGAATAAGGGTCTTATCTAGCGAAACGATCTGTCATTTTCCCAAAAAATTACAATTTATATGCTTTTTAGCCTCAAACGCTCGTCTTGTGTAGCTCTGCGTGAGCTGTGCATTCCAGTTCATGACAGTTAGCGATCGTTTCGCTAGATAAGACCCTTATTCCTCGTCTGTCATCGTGTAGAGCCCTTTGAAGCTGCACTGAAACTGTAATTTTGATTTTCAACCGTTTGGTAACCGTTGAAGTCCACTATAAGGAGAATAATCCTGGAATGTTTTCATCAAAAACCTTAATTTCTTTTCGACTGAAGGAAGAAAGACGTAAACATCTTGGATGACATGGGGGTGAGTAAATTATCAGGAAATTTTGATTTGAAAGTGAACTAATTCTTTAACATCACTGAAGCCGTTTAAGAGGTGCCTGGTGAAATTGTATAATTCATTCCTGTCATTTACTAACCTGAATGATATTCCAGCTAAAAACATAACTAAAATAGCCATTTTAAAGTATTCTTTCTCTGTTTTTCTCAGTTGCAGTGATGATGAGGATGATGATGGTGATGAAGAGGAGACAGAGCTGAGAGCTGAGTGTGTGTGGTCGTGTTGCGTTCACACTGGGAGCGGGAAGAACCCCCTCCCCCACACACACTGCATCCATGTTCTCCCCCGACCAGGAAAACATCTCCACGTCGTCAACCAAAGTGCCAGTCAAATATGGAGAACTCATTGTGCTTGGGTAAGACCTTCTGGCCTTTGACCTTGGATCAGCAGGAAGCGGCATCTGTTGTGCCGGGGTTAATAGTTTGTAATTCTTAGTGACAACTTTGCATGTGAGTGTTTGTGTTTCTGACAATAGAGTCAGATGCCGTGAAGGTTTTGTATGTTTCTGTTGTTGTTGCTAGTAACATCATTGTGGGCAAAATGTGAGGATGATGCAAGTTTATGAGAACAACTGAGCCTTCAGTTAGAAAACAAAGTGGGCTTCAACGTGGTGTTGGAGTATCATAATGCACTTCATTGACTTTCTTTTGCAGAACAGACTTCTGTGTGATTTCCTGCGCTATATCATCACATGATTCACTGGCGTCTAAAAGAGCTTTTTGTGTATTAACTTCTTTGATTAGATGTTCTCAGGGGTCATGGATTCGATTCGATTCTCATCCTGAAGTGGATAGAGGGCTCACGTCACCTCCATTATTGTGTTGGTTTACGGCTGATTTAAGTGTTGTGTTACTGCTAAACTGCAGTTTTAGCTACCTTGTGAAATAAAACCAAAATCACAATATGGCTTAGTGCGATTCATCAAATTGAATTAAATCAAATTTAATTTAATTAAATATAAGTACTGTGTTCCTAAACGTTTAAAAACCAACCCTGTTTTGCAGAGGCTCAGTTTACAGTAAATGCAGCTCCATATGGACTCTGAAAGTTTAATTGCAAATAAAAGTTTGATTGTTTTGCATTTGAAAATGAAGGAATAGAGATGGCCTTAAATCTTAGTGTAATTTAAAAAATTAAATAAATAGAAATAAAATGACTTTTTATTTTACAGTGAAATATCTCTACATTTATTAGTTTGTTAATATTTAGTATATATATATATATATATATATATATATATATATACAGACAGACAGATAGATAGATTGAAGTAATATAATATTAATATAGCAATAATATATATACTACTTTTTTTTTTATCACAATTTTTATCAGAAAAATTTTATTGCTTTTTTCCCCTAAATAGTTTAGGCGTACTTGTGTGGATGTTTAGTTCTGTTTTTCATCTTTGTAGAGACATATTAATTCTCTTGAATATTTTGGAAATTATATTTGTGTTACGTAAGTTTGGTAACTGAGCTTCTAGCTCTGACAGAGCTCTCTTGAGCTTATAACCTACATGTGACCACACACAAACTCACGCACACACACACACTGCTCCATGAGTCAGTCTCCTGATGAGATGGCTCATTTTCCTCCACCACCTTGTTTTCCCTCTGCTTTTCACTCTCTCCTCCCAGCAACAGCTGACACTGAAAGACTTCCTTCATCTACACCTCTCCGGGGGGGGGGTTTCCCTCCCTCTATCTGTCGTTCCCATAGTGTTTTCTGAAGGAATGCAGTCGTAGATTAGAAAACGCTGCTGCAAAAATACCCTGCTCGGTGTGCACATACATCATGTCCATGAAATTCCCTTTCCGTGCTGACTCTAACTGTTTGTTAATGTTGTTTTTCCCCTCCATACATCAGTTCTTGAGATCGTCATAGAAAGTCTTGCCGTAAGGGATATTAGGCTTTTTCACACTTAACTCAAGCTGAAGATGTCACCTGGTGGGAAACTCCAGATATCTTAATTGCATTTTTCTGATGTCCATATAAAAGAGAGTGTAGTTTTATAAGGAACGCCTCAAGAGAAACAAGCACAATCGGTAAGCTTGTTTATAGAGTACATTGCGATAATGTGGGTTTACCAAAATATGTCGAGAATGCACTCAACAGCGTCAATGCATGCCTTCAGCGAACTCATGTTAAATCAATCAGAGACTTAGTAAAGTCCATTGCTGAGCATCTAAAGCCCGAACCCACACAATACCAAATGCACAATGTTGAACTACACAACTACATTGCAGCCTCTGTGTCTGTGAAGAACACTTGGGTAGTGAGTAACTGGGTGGAGGACGGAGGAAACCTCCACAGAGGAAACCACAAGACATAGCAGGTGTAGTGTTCATAGTGTTCAGTGTTTTATGTAGTGTACACAGGCTTCACACTGCTCACAAATCAGATTTGTTTTTCAAATGCTGCTTAAATCTTTAGTACTAAATGTTCACGTTGCCATTTTGTAAGTCATAATATCAGATCCATTTGTTCAGATCTGGTGTATGTTCATTGGTTCTTTTAATAATGGTAATGACAGCATTACAGCATGAGACAGTAGCTGATGTTGTGGAACAAAAGGATGGCAAACTGAAGAAGATGGCTCTAGATACACTATCGTTCAAAAGTTTGGTGTCAGTGAGATCCTAAAAACGCATCACAGTTTCCACAAAAATGTTAAGCAGCACAACTGTTTTCAACATTGTTAAAGGGGTCATATGACGTTGCTAAAAGGAACATTATTTTGTGTATTTGGTGTAATGCAATGTGTTTATGCACTTTAGGTTCAAAAAACACATTATTTCCCACATACTGTACATTATTATTTCTCTTCTATGCCCCGCCTTTCTGAAACGCGTCGATTTTTACAAAGCTCTGATCGTTCTGAAAAGCGAGGTGTGCTCTGATTGGCCAGCTATCTAGTGCGTTGTGATTGGCTGAAAACCTCAAGCGTGTGATGGAAATGTTACGCCCCTTACCATACTGTGATGCCGTGTCCCGGTGCGTCGAGACAAAACCCATTACAAATGAGGCATTTGTTACATTCAGGGGACATAAGAAAACCTTTTTTTAATGACTTACACTGTCTTTTTACGTGTTGCGTTTCACGCCGCATAAACATAAAACCATGTCTGCATTTGTGATCGGAGAAACAACAAGCGCTACTCTACACTGCTCAAAACTCGCATTTGAATCATCAGTGGCAAGTTCTTTAAATATGAAAACCTACTTGCAGGCTGTGAGTCAGAAGCGCCAGACTGTCCTTGCAAAGTTGGTATTGCCCCACTTTATAGAAACAACCTTTGAGCACAGCCAGCATTGTAGGCTACTCTCCCAGGTTCAGGAAGCAGGCCTCCGTAAAATGCGCTGGACACATCTGAATATTTGGGTTGAACTGTTCTGGAACAGTGTTGTAAATACAACTTAACCATTGATTTCTAGTTATGTCCTCTTTTGGAAGACCAAACAAAGTAGTTTCGCTTTCGCAACGAAACAGCGTCTCCACAACATGGCGGCGGCAACAACAATACGACAGCGAGAATCAAAGTTATGCCTTCTTTCTTTGCGTGAACATTTGGGCGGTATTATGCAAATCTTCCCACACAGTGACGTAGACATGTGGGGGCATGTCTGAACGAGGCGTTTTAGGAGGGCGTGGACGAGTCTTAACTTTTAAATAGAATATCTCTTTGGGTTTGAGACTTTAGTCATTGCAACTTTAGGGATCTTATCTATTCATTGACAGCTCTCCAAAGAGAAAGGAAAACTTGAAATCGCATCATATGACCCCTTTAAAATAGAAAACTGTACTAATATTTCAATAAATTACTGTTAATAATGTTAAAGTGCATATCATTTCACTCTATATAGTAGGATAGTGAGATAACGTACAGTTAAGTAATTAAAATATTTTTTTCAATTGAAATTAGTTTTTACAGTGGCATGTAACAAAAGTGCTTTGCATAATTAAATGTAAAAGAATGTGAAAGAAATTTCATAAGCTGTGAAAGTATCTTCTGGCTAATCGGGATGGATGGTGAAACTGTCACGTAAGGGTTTGAGATCTTTCCACTCCAGATTAATTGCATAAATGCTACAGTTAATTATTTTATTTTTTTTTGCAGTTTTAGAGCATGAATTAATTAGTTTCATAATTGTTTTGTTGAAAACACTGTTTTAATCAATGGGGAAGTTGTGGCCTAATGGTTAGAGAGTCGGACTCATAACCCAAAGGTTGTGGGTTCGAGTCTCGTACC